CACTACCTAATTAATTCGACACAAGCTATGTTAAATTAGCTACAGAAAGGAAAGCAGAGTTGGTAATCCAATTGCTAACGGGGCTTTACTCCTGTTTTACTAATTAGTTTTCTCTCCTAGATGGGTTGCAGTTGCTGTTCCCCAATTTTCGAGTAACTTTATCAAACACCACAGTAACAAAAATGCTTGGCAGTTTCTAGCAAGCTTTTCTATAAGACAGTGCAATCAATGTATAGTGGGAAGATTTCTCTGCAATAGAACTTAGAAATAGTGTAGGCTACTACCTTTGTTAGTTATAAATGTGTCAACTATATTGAAATGAGTTACCAATAATATACTCATATAATGCGATGATTTAAAAAATCATTGACATATTATGCAATGTCCAAATTTAAAGATTGTCCTTATAAATGGACTACTATTTTTATTTCGTCGAGTACCAATGTAAAGTTGTAATTTACGTAATATGGTTTCACAATATTTAGGATAAAAGCTGCAATTAAAAAAATAGATCTAGTAGCCGAATGTATTTTATAAGTAAACATTTACTAAGTATGGATTGGTACTAATTTATCTTTCTACTCCAACTCCATAGATCTTATAACCTACTTTAAAACACCTATTTAACTTTGCATTTAACATCGCTCATTTTCATAAGTGGAAAAAAATATATTACTTACATTATGACTTGCATGTGAATAGTACAAGAACATGCTAGCTAGAGAAGAAATTGCTATCATTTATGAATGCAAGGAGAACTGCAGTAAACTAAAATATAACTTTGACATAGTACAATAATACATTTGGTGATGCATTAACATTCATCAGCATCATCACCACCAGTGTTTCTTCCAGATTTTTTTCTTTGGGGGGGGGGGGGGGGGATGAGGGCACTTGAAATTTTCGGGGGGGGGGGGGGCGGACACTGTTAAATGTATATATTTTCTATATAAATTCCATTTCGTTCAGGTGGGGCGGTAGACTATTTTCGGGGGGGGGGGGGGGGGCTTTGCCCCCCCCCCCGAAGAGATGCCTGAAAGAAACTCTGATCACCATCATCGTCAGCATTCAATTGGACCCTTTATGAGTACAGAGACGCTATCACATCTTTCCGTTTTATCTGTTAAGGAGATTCCTTCAAGTTAGACCCACGCCATTTCGGGTTGCATTTCCTTAACCGTAAACGGATCATTTCTAAAAGTGTATTGGCTAAACTACGTTTTAATTTTTGTGTGTGAGTGTGTTGTTTGCTCAATAAGTGTCCAATCAATCCTCTTTTGTGCTTTACTTTCATATACATTTAAATTTGTTTTATACATTGGGCTGTGTCTGTGTCCATTCTTACGAGCTCAATGTTTGCAAATTGCTTAAAATATTATATGAAGTATGAATTATAAAAATCATAAAAGTAATATATATATATATATATATATATATATATATATATATATATATATATATATATATATATATATATATATATATATATACATATACATATATATATATATATATATATCTATATATATATATATATATATATATATATATATATATATATATATATATATATATATATACATATATATATATAGACCTAATGATTTAGCTCTTTGTTTATTGTTTAAATATTAAAATCAATTTAAATATAGCAATAAAATTAACTTGAATCAATCTAAAATTCGAGAATTAATTAACCTCCTAAGCTTTTATAAATGTAGGCCATAGGTCCACTGCGATTTCTTATGTTCAAACGTGTCTACTTGTATTTCTTTTACTGCATCTAAAAGATAAACTAGCGACACCCGGAGTCACACAGGAGACAGGTAGAACAACAGAATTTATTGAAGGATCTACTGGTGTCTTGACGTGTTCTGCTGGTGCTGGTGTAGCTTCATATGCCTGGTATCTCGACAATGTCCGTCTAAATGTCAATACCCCGAGTATCAATATCACGAATGCTGGAGCTTACAAGTAATTCTTTACTGTAATGTTTTATTTTAATTTTAAATAAGTCCTTATAAAACAGCCATGAATTAAAATTAACTTAACATTATTAAGCTAAAACCATTAAATGGTCCATTATATTATGAACGTCATAGCGAAAGGTGAACGGGGGTGGTGTGCTAGGATTTTTGGGACTGGAACGATGGCAGTGGATGTAAGATGTCTCCATGACTTGGAGTCGTGATTATTATTTGTACCTATATCAGTTGATCTTCAAATATGGATGTACCACGGATTTATCTGTACATAGTGTAAATAAAGTTAGCATTTCAAGTTGCCACTGTTGCTCGTGTTCCTGTATGAAACCCACAACAACAAAGAATACATGTTGTTACATATGGTGTCAGAAGTGGGATTTGAACCCACGCCTACAAGAGTAGACTGCGACATGTATTCTTTGTTGTTGTGGGTTTCATACAGGAACACGAGCAACAGTGGCAACTTGAAATGCTAACTTTATTTACACTATGTACAGATAAATCCGTGGTACATCCATATTTGAAGATCAACTGATATAGGTACAAATAATAATCACGACTCCAAGTCATGGAGACATCTTACATCCACTGCCATCGTTCCAGTCCCAAAAATCCTAGCACACCACCCCCGTTCACCTTTCGCTCTCCCTTTTATTCACTACTTTCTCTCCCCTTACGTACATGAGCGATCTCACCCAAAAGCATGGATAAACACATGAGGATCGCTCAGACAGTCCTTCCGCTAGCCAGGTATTCTTCATGCATGCAACTTCATGTAAAACACAATATAATATAAACATACATAATTATACAGTCTGTGACAGTTTGCATCAAGAATATGGCAATAATCAAGCATTGCATGCATATTTTTATTGTGACAAAAACTCCTAGAAAATCTCAAAAGGTTGTTAAATGTTTTTCATGCCTACATTCTCTATTGCCCAACAAGGTGTCAAGCTCTCTCAAGTACGACTAGCTTAAACTCTGACCAAAGTGCTGCCCTTACAATCACTGCCATTGAAGCAAACTCTCAGTGTATGTATTTATAAGTAGAAAATATTTATTTTTTACGTGATGAATTAACTAAAGTTGAAGACATGTTTCTAATGTTTTTACCACTTTCCCATCTCTGCTTAAGCAACTACAAAGTTTAGCAGATATTAAAAACACAAAGCTGATTCGTTTCCCATTTAACTCCCAGTAATGCAAAGTATATTATAGAAAAAAGAAATTAGCCGTGATATCAATATTATTTTGTGTCGCAAGCGAAAGACATCAGTTCAACAACTATTAATACGTTGGGAAAGAGTACACTCAAATTGAATACTCGTACAAAACGTAAAACTTGTTACATCTCTTGTAAGTGCTACAATAAGGGTGTATTTGCAACAAAACCGCTCATTTTTTGGAAAAAACATTGAAGGCGAAAAGGTCTTTGAATAAGTTTCTTTTTAAGAATATGATTTAAAATAACATCGTGAAGGTTCTTGAGAAACGTTTTATCGAGTAGGGCCTACCACTTCAAGTTACGGAACTAAATGAAAACTTAACACAGAGTCTCAGGTGTAGGATTTCATCCACCTAACTGAAACGGAATTGAAGATTTTAGTATTTTTGAAAACGGATGATCGAAAATTATTGAAAAAATAATACAAATTTAGGTATAATTTCTTTATTTTTATATATGAAATGTTCTCAACCGGTCACCATACATCCACCAAAAGGTGATATAGAACTTATTAAATTAACTATTCTATAGCTGAAATAAAACTCAAATTATCGATTATCGGAAATCGCTTAAAAGAAATATAAACTTTAATTAATCTAATGCCATTGAATACAAGTTTGTCCGCCTGCCTAAAATAGCTATCGAGTGTACAGACACAATTGCACCTGATTTATATTAGCACGATTACACTATTCACTCTATACTCGTTATACGAACGGGTAAAGCAACAAATACAATTCAAAAGAATCAATAGCGGTATGAATACTATATATAAATATATATATATATATATATATATATATATATATATATATATATATATATATATATATATATATATACCTATTGCCAGTGGCGTAGCGAGGTCGGGTGTCACCCGGTGCGGCACTTAATGGTGTCACCCCCCCCCCCTGCAGAGGCATAGAGACCCTTCCCAGGGACAAACTTTCAAATTTTCGATTTGCACCCCCCCCCCCCCCCCTCGCTACGCCCCTGCCTATTGCTTTATGTTTCTCATTATTAAATGTCTAGCTACGAATGTCCCGACAGTAACAGTTAGCCCTGAAGGACGAACAGTAACTCTCACCTGCTCTGGCGCACCCCTGGGTTATGCTGGAAAAACTTCTTTTCTGGTAAAGTAAAATAGATTTTCTTCCTATAGGGCAACAATAGCATTCATTGAATACAGGACGATTAATTATTTTCTAATAATATTTTTTTTTTTGCGTGTGCCTTACGCAGGTTGAAACAATAACAGATCCTGTAGCCGAAACTACGACTTCATTGTCTGCTCAACTCAATATGAATAACAGTTATTACACGAAAAAAGTATCTTGCAAGCTAGCTACTTTTATGACCGTCACGTTCGTTGAATCAGCTAAGGTCGATTTAATTTCAGAAGATACAGGTAAGTGTATTCTTTTTTTATAAAATTGATATTTACAAAACAAATATTAAACTTTATTACAATGGCAGTTTTGTTATATTTTTTATGTTACCGTTTCTCTTTACTTACATAATAGCCGATTCCAGCCAGGGCATAATTTACATTGTATAAAATGACTCTTTTTGAAACTCGCAAAAGTGATGTCGTGATTCCCCGTTTCTTTGCCCTCGTCCTATGAAGTGATATTGTGGTCAGCACTATGCCTAGCGCCTTTTCTTTTGTACCAATCAGAGCTGGGTTCTGTTGAATTTATATTCGTATTCACTAAATAATAGTGTATATATTGATTAATACTTTACGAGAAGACACAACTATACTTTGAGTTTACAATTTATTATAGGCATCACGGTATCTTCGGTCTCAGCGACGGTAACTGACGCTGGTGGGAATGTAATAAATTTAGACACAGATTACCAAATTGGAGCAGCGGAACCAACCGTCACATGCCAGACTAGCCCAGCGCCAGAATCTCTGGACCCTTCAAAAAACTTGATTTACCAATTTTTTAATCCGGTTGGTGTTACCAAATCTTTGTGCTATACAAAAAATACACTTGATTTAAAACTATGTTTTATAGTGTTGCTATACAAGTTACTTGAATTGGGTTTATTATGTGGCGCGCTTGTATGTTATGATTTAACAGCATTATACAATGTATAGTATACATATAACGTGTTTATAAAGGAAAACTTTGGTTAGAGGTATAAATCTTTGATGTGTCTACTTTAGCTTTAGAAAAGAAAACAATATTCCATTTTATATTTGTATTACCTGTGTGTTATTCTGAGAAGTAGAATCATCCCAGAGTTTGGTTTAATTCATATGCGATTCGCTAGGTCAAGATGTTAAAACCTTTTCTTTTTCAAACGTAAAAAAATAACCGGCGTTCATTGTTTACCATGGATAGATTACATAAAAAAAGAGTAATCAAGCCATGTTATTATGGTTTCAGTACAGTGCTACGTCAGTACAAACCGGGAACTCGAAGACTTACAAAGTGCCAACCAGTGAACCAGGTGAATTAACGTATACATGCTCAGCTACGTACGGAACAAATGCTGCAGTAACTTCGTCAGCCACCATACGAATAAAAGTCAGTAAGTATATTTTAATTAATATCTATACACACACAACCATATATATATATATATATATATATATATATATATATATATATATATATATATATATATATATATATATATATATATATATATATATATATGTATGTATATATACTAGGCACACTGCCTAGCTTCGCTTAGGTTTTCAAAAACACTTGAGAATTTGAATACTTAATTATTTAGTGATGGCTGAGGTGTGGAGTGCTTAAATTTAAACAGTAATGCTAATTTTAGATATTTTTTTTATTATTCACAAGTTTAATGTGTATTATTATTATTATTATTATGTGTATCTATAAGCCAAATCCAATTAAAACACCATCTTATGGGGAAACTGGTAGTTTGACAATGAAAACATAGCGCCTAGGTATTCAAACAAGAGCTTCTTTTCAGGGTTTTTACAAATCACTTCGAAAATTTGACGATCAACATTAGCCTGGTCTTCTTTGCGCTCATAATTGACAGCATAGACCTCTTTCTTTGTATTGAAAATGTCACCCTCTGTAGCCTATGTTTGGGCTTCTTAGACTTCAGCTTCTAAAATATTCATCATTTACTCTCTTTGGTACTTTAACACTCTTGAAGTCCAACTTTGTGTTTGTGGCAATTACATAAATTTGATTGATTCAAGGGGCAACCATTTAAATGACATGGTCCTGTAACAAGCAGCAAACCAGAAGAGCTGTTTAAGGAAAACTACCCTCTTTCCCTTGTATCTTCCAGCAAGAAGAATAAGAACAGTCCCTGGGGTAATTGAGGGTCTCAGGTTTCTTTTATGATGACTGAATGGCTCCTTTTGGCTTCTTAGCTTTCGTCGCTTGTCTTAAGTTGGATAGAGACTTGGCAATCTGCTAACTCGCACTTTTCTCTCCCCTCCATTCTTCTCACCACCAATCTTCTTGGTGACAAAAGATGGCTTCTTCTTAGATGCAGCTGGAATCTTGTTGTTTGTTGTTTACAGTTCGTTATTTGAGAAAATATTGGAAAGTTTGCAATGTATGACTAAAATGTAATTAGAACTACAGAGACTCCATGAATAATATATCTCATAATTTATATTACATTTATTTTAATATTAATTAATTAATTTAATTTAGGATCGTACCTTAATTAGCAACTTAATTTTTTTTCTAATTCAAATAATATACTTTGTCATTTTCTGTTTATGTTTAAAACAAGATACAATTGTTTGAAAAATAATTATTTTTGAAAAGTTACCTCCCTTGAAAATTGAACGAAAGAAGTATGTCTTTGTTTACTTTTTCACAAATAATTGTTTATAAGAAAATATGCCATCTGGACGAATCTAACGACCCTAAGGGCAAGTGTCCATTCGAGCGTTTGTTGCATTCGGGCAAGCGTTCATTTTGGGAAATCGGCCTTCGGGCAAACGGCATTCGGGCAAGTGTCTTTCGGGAAAAATTCCGGCTCCCACAAAGATTATATAGGGAAATACGACTGGTCAGTTTTGACCCATTTTCAGAATTTTCCCGGATGTGCCGAGTTTTTTCTGACACTCCTAGGCGTTCTTCTACCACCTGACAAAATATTAAGGGGGGGGGGGGGGGGTCGTTAGGCAAATAAAATATTTCGTAATATAGCTCATATAATGAGAATTTCACTCGCGGTCACTTTTTTGCTCTCGTCAAGGGCTTTGAGTCAAATGGACAGTTTTTCCATTCGGCATGACCATTTATCTATGGGCATGCAAAAAATAAGCCTGATGTACAGAGGTTGAGCACCCTAAAATCTTTGTTGAAATTACCCTCTGTTTTCTCATAAAATACAAATATTATATAAGGAAATACGACTGGTTAGTTTTGACCCATTTCCCGGACATGGCGAGTTTTTTATGAAACCCCTAGGCGTTCTCCTACCACCTCACAAAATTTCAAGGGGGGGGGGGGTTGTCGGGCAAAATCTTTTCTAGTAATAAAGCTCATATAAAGAGAATTGCACTCGCGGTCACTTTTTAGCCCTCGTCGAGGGCTTTGATTAAAACCGACAAATTTGCCCTACCGCCTAGCCATTTACCTAAGAGCATGCAAAAATTCGCTGATGTGCAGAGGGTAAGTATCCGAAATCTTTGTTGAAATTACCCTCTGTTTTCCCATAAAATACAAACATTATATAACGAAATACGACTGGTCAGTTTTGACCCATTTCCCGATTTTTCCCGGACATGGCGAGTTTTTTGTGACATCCCTAGGCGTTCTCCTACCACCACACAAAATTTCAAGGGGGGTCATCGGGCAAACGTTTTTTTTTTGTAATAGAGCCCATATAAGGCGCCGGTCAGTCGTGGTCAGTTTTGACCCCCTATCCGTGGACTTTTCGGCCAACCGGCACCGGCTGTCGTGTTCGGTAGCCCCAACACAAACTCATGCCAAATGTGAAGCGCCAGCAGCTTCGGGAAGTGCCCTATCGGGCTTCTGACAACTTTGCTTTATACATATAGATAATTCTCTTCATGGAGACCATGCGAGACACCAAGTAAACTCACGCCGTTACTTCCCCGCTCTCTAGGCATATAGCTACCAACCCCACCATTCTGATGAGCCCAAGTTTCACCCCTATTGTTTACAATCGTAGAGACAGGTCGACTTATTAACGGCTATTAGGGACAGATAATTTAGATTTAAAACGATTTAAAACACAGGAGGGGTAAGAAGTTCTGCTTTATCTTTTCATTGTCGTCCGTACACTGTCGTCACAGACAGCTGCTTTCACGGTGGCGGGGGTTGGAGGGGGGGGGGGGGAATGGAAGAGAGGCTAGTGTCGAATTCACTAACTATGAAGTACTGAAAAGTAGAAAATAAAACAAATAATTAGTGGCGTGTGATACACCGCGGACCAGCTCGTTCACATTTCAAACAGACTCCATAAAATTATTCTGGGGCAGTTATAACCCTTGTAGGTGATTTTATTGAACACCTGGCTCTGTTGTAGATGGATAGAAATTAATATTTACTGCAGATTTAAAAAAAATTATAGAGAGGGTAGTAAAGTAATATATAATATACCGATGTATTTGTTGGATCAAAATTCGTTATTTCTTAAAAGTACATTGTAAATGGGTTGATTTATAATTTAGCTTCATTCTTTAATAGCTACACCTTTACTGACAAAAATATTAATGATCGCGACCATAGGATTTAATAACTTAAATGTGTTCTTTTTAAGTATTCAGTTTGCTTTATTTGATTTCAGAATCTGATTCGTTTGTTACGGCCCATGATTTAACAAAAGTTAGTCCAGATGTTTTAAATATAGGATCAACGCTAATTTTGTCATGTGGGAGGACACTGGATGCTTCACGCACCTACACATGGTCATTTAATAACCAACTCATCGACGGTCAAGCGGACTGGAAAATCCAACTTTACAATTTCATGGAGATCGACATTGGCTGGTACACATGTCGTGCCACAAAAGTTGGATTCAAGGCAGAAGAATCGTTCATTGTTGCAAGTAAGTTTTGAAATCACATCATAGGTCTGGTTTGAATATCTATGATATTTCTCTACAAAGAATAATTAAAACTGGATTATAGCATTAGAAAGTTTAAAACTGAGTTTCATTGCTATAAGGTATTTGAAGTTTCATAAATTCACTCCACAATCCTAAAGGAATCTGTTTATTGTATAGAACAAACTAAGCTGATTTAAAGAAAACATGCAAAAAAGATTCTCAATAACAACATAGGTTTTGGTAATTTTTAAAATATTTTTAAAAATATACAATTCAAATTCCTTTAGCATATAATGTCATTATTAACATTTTTTAAAATTATTATCGGTTAATGTTTTTGTCTGTCTTTTTAAAAAAGTTATTATAACTTCTCAGTCATGTTTTAAGCATAGCTTTGTGTATGTAAAGTAAATATGGATAGGATGACTGTTAGTTTAAAAACAACATGTAAATTAACTCCCAACAGTTATGAAACCTTACATCGCACGAGTTCCTGCTGGTGATTTCTTTGGTCAATATGGTGTCTATGACTTGAAGTGTATCATTGGCTCTAGTGAAAACACAGGATGGACTTTCTCGTGGAAAAAGTAAGATTGTTCGTAATAGAAAAAAAAAACATCAGTAGTGTGGGGATAATGACGAAGTGACCACCACCAGTTCTGAGGGTGGGGGTGATGAAAGAAAAAGATACCCGGCCTGGATAGTTTTGTGAAATTACCACACACAAGTCCGATTCAAGATCTAATGCTCTTTATTTTACACAAATCAGTTTCCTACTTCTATCTAACTAGTCTTTATACTGTCTACCACTACTACTTCTATCTAACTGTTTCCTACCCCTACATATCCCGGACCTACCACACTATCTGCTTCTAACTCTCTACATATGGACTTTCTAGTGGAAAAAGTAAGATTGTTCGTAATAGAAAAAAAAACAAAATATCAGTAGTGTGAGGGTGGGGGTGATGAAAGAAAAAGATACCCGGCATGGATAGTTTTGTGAAATCACCACACACAAGTCCGATTCAAGATTTAATTTTCTAATTTTTACACAATCATCTTCCTACTTCTATCTAACTAATCTATACTATATTTTGTCCACTACTGCTACTTATTTCTAACTGTTCCCTGCCTCTACATATCCCGTAAGTCCCTACCACACTATCTACTTCTAACTCTCTACATTTCTCTGATCGTTCTCTTGCGCTACCTTTCACCGTCTGCCTTTTACCCTTTCAGTGGTTACCTGACCGTCCCACGTGACCGGTCAGCATCTGGATTTCCATTGTTTTTTTAGCTAACTAAGCTATAGTCTGTTTCTACCGGGTACTTGATTTCTAACCTAAACTAGCGTCATCACAAGTTGTGTGCCACTAACAGCGAACTCGGTGGTCGAGTGATCTGCAGCACTACAAGCTCCTTAAAGCGCAAAATCGCGCATACATTCGTATTAAAGAGCACCCTACACGTTGGCACACGACATTCTGTGATTAAACCGGATGCCAATACGGCAGTGTGACCAGTGGCCACTAGAGTGCTCAATGATGCACCTGACACCCCGATTGGTCGTAGTCTTCTATCTCTTAATTACGAAGGATAGTTCACGTACCCTCTAGGCTTCACTACAACTCGGCAAGGGACCTCTATGTGTGTGGGAGGGGTGAAGTAAACAAATCTTTTCCCAACAACTGTGTTCCAAGAGTTATAGCGCGGCAGTTTCCATTTAAATTACTTAGTTTTACAAAAACAAGGTCGACGTCTAAAAATAGACCATTGGTATCGCATTGATGAAATCCTAATAAAATATTGCTTTAGCCTTTCTTCTAATATCGCAGCAACGCGTGACGGGTACGTTAAAACCTTATAAATCTCCTTGTTTATGTCTTATTTTAAAGAGACAAGGATGTTACTTTGATAGCAACCGACACCTACCCAATAATAAATGCAACATCAGCCACACATGATGGGACCTACACTTGCACCGCTATATACAATGGCGTGTCCAGCAATACTGATGAGTTCTCTGTAGCTATTGTAGGTAAGTGATGTTTTTGTTGCGGTCTTTCATTTAAGTACATTTTGAATACTGATCATACAGGAACTACCGAATTCTGCCAAAACGAAAGTTATTTACTAATGTAACATAAGTATATGTAAAATTATATATTTATATATAAATAAATATAAATAAATAAATAAATAAATAAATATATATATATATATATATATATATATATATATATATATATATATATATATATATATATATATATATATATATATATATATATATCTTTATCAATTACATCTAGCACCTGGCAAACGTTGTGCAACCTCCTCTGAATGTGTTGGCCGTGCGTTTTCCGGTAAATGCACCACAATCGACCCAAAAGTCTGCGAATGTTCTGCGAATTACTTTCTATAGGGCGAAACTTGCGCATGTAAGTTTTTTGTTGTGAGGATGCATTTATAACGCGGCAGTTAAATTGACCGAAACTATTATTGGTTTTTGTATGTCAGTGTAGTTAAGTCTGCTATTGTTGGATAATGCATTTATTTTGTTGTAAAATTAATTTTGATTAAAAAAGTAGTCATATTGATACATGAATCGAAATTAACTAACGTTGTGCCTTTTTTATTTTTCTTATTTCAACTATCTGATTTTTTATTTATAATTACTTAATGTGACTTAAATTTTTAAAAATGTATTTGCTACTTTACAATAGTACTATTGTCAAGATTCTTTTGCGTCAATTATGTATTTTTTTAACATAGTGCTTGTCTGATATCTTACTCTATTTAGAAACGTTATACTTCTTTGTACTCATGACATTATGTGTATATGACTCGATTGATGGAGATGAAAATCGGTATAACATGTCAGGACACCGAAAACAGCATTTTTCAATCACGGGATAATTTTTTTGACAAATATCCTGAGTACGAGTAGAAGTGGGGTTATGCACTTTAAAATTATTTTTAAAATTATTTTTCAGCATCCGGAGCTACAGCTTTAATCAGCTGTGTCCTAATGGTGATCATAGCGTCCCTAGGGTCAGTTTTCTTCTAGAACACTCGACAAAGCTAAATATTATTCAGAGTTTGTTCATTTTAACTATTATATCTTATTTGCTGTTACATGGATCCGTTGTGAAGAGTCTGTTATAATTTAAGTTTTGTAATATAGAGACTAAAATTAAATCTAAAAATTAGATAGTAAAACACAAATGCACCCTCGATATAAGTTGTTTACTATGCGAATCTAAAAAATGATTCACATTCAATTTAGGACATAGCTGGTTAGGGACGGAGTGGTCTAGCGGTAGAGAGCTGGACTGCTAACCAGTAAGTCTCGAATTGGAATCCGGGTTCAAGTCAGTAAACCGTCCCTGAGTCCACCCAACTCTGATGGGTAACTAACTCACGTTAGGGAAAATAAAGGCGGCTGGGCATAGTGCTGACCACACTATCTCTTCATATACCGAGGTCACAGAAACAAGTGAACTCTACTTCACTTGCCCCATAGACCGTCAGGTGTGAAAAGGGAACGTTACTACTTACATATCTGGTTGAAACAACGTAAACTAATGGAATTAAAGATTCCAGACACAAAGTATCAATTATGATTGCTTTAGTTTTATATTTTAAAAAAATCATTGTATTTGAGTTAATTTTTCATAAAATGTATGTATTTTTACATTATTATCAAATCTAATAATACATATATCAATTTATTGTATTACTTAATTCTGTATGTTCATAAGGTATGTTGTATTTTAAACTACAGTGTTCCATATAAGAGGGGCAACCGTGCATCAAACATATTTTCTGTATGATTTATGCCCACTTGATCTATGAAGTTTTTTAAAACTGCTGATATTTATATTAGTTTAGTTTGGTTTGCTTTTTCGATGTTTTTTTTTATTAAAATTATCGTTGTATGTTATAATTAATAATCAATCTGCTTGAAAATAGTAAGATAATTGACAAACGAAACACTATTTCTGTTATTAAAAAGACTACTTTGAGTCGAGGTGAAGCTAAAAAAATAATTAAGACGGTAGATTTTTGTATCTGACTTGTTTGTAGTATTTTTTAATCTAAAATACTATTTTGTTTATTTTTTTAAATATATATTATTTTCAATAAATTCTATGCACTATTTTTTTAAATTTAAGCAATTTTAGGAATTTTTCTACTTAAATAAATCTCATTCTAATCTAATTCGAAGGAAATTGTGTAGATTTATTGTAGTCCAACGTATAGATTACAACAATGAATAAAAGAATCTACAAAAATGCCAGGTAAATTATCATAGTTATATCACAATTCATTCAACCAGCATCATAATTTAAATGTAATAAATTTGACAATTCTATTGTAAATATGCATGAATGGAATTATGTTTTCCGTGTATTTCGTTTTAGTTTTCAGAATATATGTAAAACTGAAACTTTACGCCAATTGTAAAATGTAGGCTACATATTATTCTTCCTTTCGGTTATATACGAACACTTATACACACAAGTAGTGTGACCCTTTTTAACTTCTTGTGAGTAACTATCTATAAAAAAAATTCAATTTTCAAGCAAAATAGTATTTTTTGAAAATAATTGTAAACACCAAGTAAATTAAATATCAAATCCATAACTATTTACATTCGCAGAAACCGTAGTATGATACTCAGATGAATATCGTTAAGAAATCCTTAGCAAAATTATCAAAATATATCTGTCCCATCTTCTATTTTAAGTTTTTGGCTATAAAGAATTATCCGTGCACGTTTGATTATTTTCTGTGTGATATTGAAAAAAAAGTACAGTTTACTTTAACATCTTTTTTTTTTGTCGTGCGATTTTCAGTTGTGTCTGTTTTTAGTGTGGGTTTTGTTTGTGATGTTCTGACTTTAGTTTTTTGCTGCTTGTTTCATAAATCAGCCCAAAACAGATGCTGAAACAATATTAATGTTGAAATTTAACAACCGAGCTTTGAGCTGTTAGCTATCGGTGTTTTTTTATAAACCGTATGATGAATTTTGATTTAATAACTGTATAATATAATAGATTACTTTTACCTATAGGTAGAGTTTACATACGAAAACACATAGTAATAATATTCACATATATAACAAATTTCCATTTTTACAGTGGTTGTCAGAAGACGGATATAACTATTTTTATTGTGGTAAGCAGGTTGAAACAAATACATAATGCATATTTTTCAAGTCTTTTGCATTTAGAAAAATGAATGTGTTTATCTATTCTTGTTGTTTTCATGAAATTATAATTATATAAGAAAAAAAATACATATTCTATGTATCCACTTTTATTTATGTAATGTTTCAGAGGTTTATAAAAAAATTACAGACTACTACACACCCTCGTATTATATATATATATATATAAATATATATAAATATATATATATATATATATATATATATATATATATATATATATATATATATATATATATATAATCTGTTTTGTAATCCTTGTTAAAAAAGCAATGTGGCATAATGATTACTAGAATATTAATTAAAACAAGCGAAATTGAAGAAATAATCACTCGCTTAATATAAATATGTATATTCATACAAATTTAGTTGTAAATGTCAAAAAAGATCTATTATTACTTGAATACGTATTACAGCTTAACACTATTCGTTTTAGATAACTATGTTGTCTACAATTCAGAATTAAATATATTGTCATCATAAATGCTACAATATTACAGCATAATGAAAGATTTTTTAAATCAGAGTTATAAAAATCAAGCATTTCACTCTAATTTATAAACTAAATCATGGTACATTGGTACCTCATTACGCGTTTTCCCAAGTGTACTTAACAAATCAGTTAATTTCATTCACCACTGTCCGGTCACTTTAGGTCAATTATCCTCTCCAGCTTATACCTAGGTATATTACGACCTGTCCCGTTTTAGGTGGTGAGGTGGGGGGGGGTGTAACGGTCACTTATCTACCAGCCAGATATATGGTGAACGCCCCCGGATTCTTTCTTGGGGTTATATGCAAATGACTTAAAGCCTAAATGAATGAACACTAACTCAACAACACACTAGGGCTCGATTTCGATGTCTAGGGAAAACTAGTGATACTATTGAAGTTAACAACTCATCCAATCTGCATACAACCTTTAATAAGCGAACACAGTTGTGGCAGAACACTAGGTTAAACAAGATAAAATATTTAATTTAGAAAATAACAAAACCCAACTTACAAAGCGTCAGAAAAAATACTATCACAGATTCTAACACTGTATAAAAATAGCCACAGGTCACACAACACTGCTATAGCATCAAGAATTACTTGGCCACAAGTAATATAATACTAGAATACTAAAACAACTTAAGAATGCATAGCACACTCAGGACTTAAGTTCTCTCACGTTCAAATGGTCAGAATGAATTGCCGGACAAAATGGACGGCCTGGTCAAGATGTACTGCCTCGTGCTGCCTGTGTGCGATCTAGTTAAAGACTTAGGCAACAGGGGAGATTATCCTCAACTCATGTAGCCATTGGTTGGGGTGGTCATCTGATCTGAAACAATCAATCAGATCTTGATGGAAAATTTCTGAGTCTTAGACACTCTTAATAAGACAGTGGAAAAAACCCGGTTGTTGCACCATCAATTCATATATGGTATTATAACACTGTCAAACCAAAAATAAAACATGACTAGACCTAAGTAGGTCACAGGGGGTAACCAATTCAGAGTGAACATAGCGTTAGTTATTAGATGATCTATGATCGTCTAAACATACATATACAATTATACATATATATTGAAATACATTTCAATAAGTAACAATGGTATTACGTCAGTATAAATTGTTTTATAGAGGGCCCAATGAAGGGGGATGGGTAAATCCCCCTAACCCCCCCCCCTCCTGCCTACGACACTGCTGTACCGTACCTTACCGTACCCTAATATAGCCTAGCCTAGCCTAACCATGTTTAGTTTAGCCTAGCCTAGCCTAGCCTAGCCTAGCCTAGCCTAGCCTAGCCTACCTTACCTTACCT